TTGATTAGCCATGCCTTATGCAAAATACGTCTTAATTGATAAATAAAATATTTGTTTCAAAATGGAATATATGACAATATTTAAATATAATATATCCTAGACTGACAAATCATCTCCGTTCAGAATCGTTTTTCATATACAATGATACATATCATTGAATTCAAATCTAACCTACCCTAGTCAGAGGTCTACCCCCACCCCCTAATGTACAGCAGAGCGATACCCACTTTCCCGCTTTTTTATGTATTATAATAAACATTTTTTTTTTACCTACATAAATTTAATATGTCAAGAAAATTAATGTTATCAAATTTTAAAACCTTATATTAGTATCAGTATTTATGACGTTATATGTTCCACTTGTAGATAAGTTGTTAACTACCACAAGTCATAACAGTACAAAAAGCAGGGAAACGTTCCTTGTGGAACATACCTAAAAGTTCAAAAAAATTACTCRGACGTTTTCTGCCATGTGTTCCTTTTAACTAAATATGTGTTAACTGTTTAATTATGACTATAAACAAAATAGGTATATAGGAATCATATTCTCTGAAATACCACTAAGGAACCAAATATGTGGAACTACGCACTTCAAAATTTTTAAAAAAAATGCGTAACAGCGCAAAATATAAATAGCTATAAAATAATATAATATAAAATTGTAAAACTTTCATAGAGTATTAAAAATAAATCTTTTTCKAGTCTTGTTGTAAGTATTAAACTGTTATTCGAGATGGCAATCAAAAGCGTTACGTTATATTGTTTTTTTTTGTATTTGTACAATATATTTATTGGAATGTGCTATTGACTTCAAAAACAACTTGAAAATAATTTGTCTCTGAAAATAAAAGTCATATCGTTATTGGAATTAGCATGTATCGAAAAAAACCAGTACTTTAAGAAGCAGATTCTTATAAGATAAAAATAAAAAACTCATCTTTTAAAGATTGATATAATTGTTTACAGCTAGTATTTCTCGACACTTTACCGTAATAATCAGCTTTAGGTGTTTGATTTTATTAGATTAGTGATGTTTTGTTTTTGAAATGGTGATACCTAAGCACCATTGTTCAATCGATTCCGATTGGAGACATTTTGCTACGTTAGTGATTGATACATAGGTAAATAACCTATAGCATATGATTGCTGCATCGAAAAAAATTAAATATTTATATTACATAAATACATTTAAGTATTATAGTTGCTGAACCTTATTTTTTAGATTTAATTTTTTTCAACAACAATATACAATTTTAATTTATTATTTTAAATCAGAATATATGTCAGACTTTCGAAGTATGCACTTCAATGCACAAAAAAATATATTTTAAACTATATATATTTTATATATTATATTTTAGCTTGTGATTTTTAATATTTTAATTCCAAACAAACTGGGGAAGTACCTACCTCTAAAAATGTTGGACCACTATTACGCTTGTATAAATTTGTAATATTTATTGATTATTAAATTGGTAGGTACTCTATAACTATTTAGATTTTTATAAGTATTTAGGCATACTCCAAACAATACTCTGCTTCGGAATATTAAATTAAAAATATATGCTGATATGTTGTCATAAATAGCTGTGAAACAAAATTAAAGCTATAAAAAATAGTGAAAAATATAAATTGTTCAACAATTATTTTAGTTGATATAAATTTAAAATTTATAATTTTAAGAACATTAATATTTTTGTAAATAATGAATTATCTCTGATATAATCACATATTTGCTATGATATARTAAATTAAACATTGCAAACAATATAATTTATATTGCGGGCGCTCAAGATTTAAATTCACGGAAAGTCCGTTATAGATCCTTATACACAATTGTTGAACAATCGTTATTGAAATGTACACGTAGTTTAATGAAGCGGTCGTGTGCAAGTAACAGTCGTCGGTAAACAATTGAGAGGTGTCGTTTGGCGACAGCTACAACGTGATAATAATATGCTGTCCTAAGCATTCAGTTAGTGTTGTCAAATGTTCAAGGTATGCAATACCATAGTACTATTGTGTTTTAGATTTAAACACGTTTCAATGTTAAGTTGTAAGTTGTAAACTGGTTCGAAAAAAAATAGGACAGTATTATCTATTATAATATTTTCAGTTAGTTACTTTTAAGTAACGAAGTTAGCAAGTAAATAATAAATTAACATAAATAAATACTTACTTACCTTACTTACTTGATTTCTTGCTATAGGTTCTTAAATAAAACTGTGAAAATCAAAAAAATTTAAATTGTAGGTGACTTTTTTTTTATTTCCTGGTTATT